ATATATTTTTATTGATTTCAGAGAGGAAGGGAGAGGGAGAGAGAGATAGAAACATCAATGATGAGAGAGAATCATCAATCGGCTGCCTCCTTCTTACCTCCTCCTGGGGATTGAGCCCACAACCCGGGCATGTGCCCTGACCAGAATTGAACCTGGGACCCTTCAGTCCACAGGCTGATGCTCCATCCACTGAGCCAAACCAGCCAGGGCACCTCACCCATTTAGATCCAGGGATGGATGGTGATCCAAACCTGACCACTGTCAAGATCACTAAAAATAAGGAAATCTGGGAGACTGTCAGAAAAGTCTAAGTAGTCTCTAAAGAAACCCTTGGAAAGCCAATATTTAGTCTAAACAATGTCTTATACCCAACAGTAGATAGTATTTATGAACCTCCCTCCCAAGTTTTTATTTCCTTTTTGGCTAATTCTCTTATTTCAATATGGGGAAGTGTGGAAGGTAGTATAATGCTCTCCTTTTACATCTCGGTTGGATTTAGAAACAAATTGACCACTTTTTTGGGGGAAAGGAAATCCATTCTGTTTTATAACACTGCTCATTAATATACATTGTTTATATTTTGATTTTAAATAAGTGTGTAAGAGCAGTTCTTGAAAGTGTGCAGGTTCTAATGTATTCTCTCTGCTTCGAACCTTTCCAGCATAATGCAAGACATATATTCCTTCTGCTTTAAAAGTAGTGCTACAGCCTGACTGGTTTGGCTCAGTGGATAGAGCGTTGGCCTGTGGACTGAAGGGTCCCGGGTTCAATTCCAGTCAAGGGCATGGACCTTGGTTTCGGGCACATCCCCAGTAGGGGGTGTGCAGGAAGCAGCTGATCGATGTTTCTCTCTCATCGATGTTTCTAACTCTCTATCCCTCTCCCTTCCTCTCTGTAAAAAAATCAATAAAATACATTTAAAAAAATAAAAAATAAATAAAAGTAGTGCTACAGATGTATAGCAAATTAATACCTACCCATCTGCCACAACCCATTATAAACCCCCACATGAACTAGGGCATTCTCTATCTTCATTACAGCCTATTAGTGCTCCCCTAGTATTCTTAGATATTATAAGTTGCTAAGCAATAATCCTAGTGCTTACGTTGTCCCCACTGATACGTAGAAGAGAAATAGATGTGTGTTTGGTTATAACTCTAGTCAAACACTTCTCTCATAGGGCCATAAAACCAATAAAGGAAAAGGAGGTACAGCAATAGCAGGGTCAATAAGTCAGGATTCTGATTAAGCCTACATACAACTGTCTTTTGATTGAGTGACCTCTGAATTCAAGGATCATAAATTACAGCACTGCCCCAAGGAAAAATTAACTCAGATTCATTTGAATATAGTTTCAAACAGGTACTTTTAAAAAAGAAAAGCAGCTCTGTGTTTGGACATTCCTAAACCTTTTACAGATGTTTTTATTCATGTGTACATTCATTCAATAAATAATTATTGATGTCTCACTTTGTGCCTAGTACTATGCTAGGCACTGAAATTCTATTTCAGGATTTTCTTCCTAAACTCTTCATAGAATTAATAGCCTTTCATACACACTAACATACACACCTTCACCCTTGTATTAATCCACCTTCTAACATACAAAGACCTATTCATTTACGCACTATGGGCATAAATGCTTTCAACTAAATAATTCCTTATTCATATTGTCGAAAGGTCCAGCCTTACAAGTGACTTTTATCATTTCCTGCACTTAGTGCATAGCCCACTGCTGAGCATGGCCTCAGTACAACCCTATTTAAGGACATAAGTAGGAATGAATTATAATCCACATTATAATAAGCCTTAGTAGACTCTTTCTTCACAAGAAGGCATGTAACATTAGTGGGTCTGGCTCCTGATTAAATTAGTGAAAATTGACCCAGCAGGGCTATTCAACTAGATGTGTGATGTTCTCTTTAAACACAGACCCTGTCTGAAACTCAGCTGGCTTGGTCTTATCAGGATTTCTTAACATTTCCACATAATGTAGAAAGACTACTGTGAAAGCAGAGGAAAAGAAACACTACTTAACACTACTAGAAATAAATTCAATAGCTACAGGAAAAGGCATTTTCCTGCAAAACTTTGTTTAATCTTAGGCTCTGTAATGAGAACAGAGCTGAGCAAATTGATAGTTTTTTTTTAAAAAAAAAAGATTTTTCAAAATGCAAGTTAAACTCATAGTCTAAAAAATAAAACAATTAAGACAAAGAAGTGAAAAATTCATATGGTATATTTAACCACAGTATTTTCTATGCAAAGATATGTATTTGAGCACATTCTGGGAGCTGCCTGGCAAGATGCCATCATTTTGACAAATATATAATAAGGATAAAAACACTTCCTTTAACATGTTAAAATTGCAGCAACAGTTTCTCCTCCCACATCTTACTTATACACACACACACACACACACACACACATACATACACACACACACACTCACAAAGGGAGGTTCAGAATATTAGATTTAATTATGACTGATCACTGAATAAATTAAGTATATTTCATTGCATTTAATATTGCAACAAGGAACTGCAATGTTTTCAGTATATATCATGTTCTGGGATGAATAGACTTACACAAACAAAACACAATCAGCGGTTCTCAACCTGTGGGTCGCGACCAACGGAAAACACATATAGCATATCAGATATTTACATTACGATTCATAACAGTAGCAAAATTACAGTTATGAAGTAGCAACGAAAATAATTTTATGGTTGGGGGTCACCACAACATGAGGAACTGTATTAAAGGGTCACGGCATTAGGAAGGTTGAGAACCACTGCTTCTACTATATGTGGAAAAGCAATAACAGAAATTGAAAGTATAAGAACAGGAAAGACCAAAAACTATTGATTAATATGTTTTCTAGAGAGACAATAAATTACATAAAAAAATACATATGTGAAGTTTTGCAGGTGCAAATTTGGCCATAACTGATTAATGTGAACACCTAATTAAATTTATAACAAGTTACCTAGATCACAGTTTTGTTTGGCATGTTTAAAAGGAAAGAGTTCATTTATAAACATGGCCCAAGTGATTAAGGTAAAGGCAAAGTAAATGTATGAAATAGTGGTGGTAGAGTATGGGAGTGAGAAGGAAGTGAAACCAAGAGACTGGTATGGGGTGAGGGCAAGACAGGTGGAGAGGGACTTGCAAAGAAACTTTTTAAAAAGTTAGTGATGCTGTGAAAATTGTCCTAAGTTTACAATAACAACAGAACAAATGTTGGAAAGTTTGGTTCTTAATGTGTAAATATTAAAATGTGTATTAATAAGAAGAAATAGTCATTGCTTAAGTTGGTTAAAAAGACAGAGAAACGCTTTGTAGAAAAGTAAGCATCTAAAAGTTATAACTAGCATATACATAGCAATTTATAGAAAAACACTTCAATAATTATTATTGTAATTCAGCCTTGCATAGTGTATCATATACTAAAAACTCAATACTTGTAAACTGAATTGAAGGGAATTTCAATTAATTGAAATTGTTAAATTGAAAATATTGTAAAGAATTTCTGTCACACAGGATTTCACTATGTATCTGAAATTAGAAGAACTAACATTTTTAAAAAATATGTTTTATTGATTTTTCACAAAGAGGAAGGGAGAGAGATAGAGCGTCAGAAACATCAATGAGAGAGAAACATTGATCAGCTGCCTCCCGCACACCCTCCACTGGGGATGTGCCCGCAACCAAGGCACGTGCCCTTGACCAGAATTGAACCTGGCAGTCTGCAGGCCAACGCTCTATCCACTGAGTCACACCGGCCAGGGCAGAACTAACATTATTAATAGCATTTGGTGTAAAGATTTTAAAAGTTATTGGCATTATGTGTAAGTTTGCTGTTTTCTCATTTTTTTAACTTATGATTAAACATTAAAAATATGTTTTAAAAAAAGACAAACTAGTGAAAGGAATGAATGTCTTGCCCACTTATTTGTTGCCTTCTGGATCATAATACATTTTCAATCTGCATAATTATATGGGATTTCAGTTAAGTATGGGACTAGAAGTCAAACAGAATAAATGTGTGGTCAGGTACAGGGGTAAAAAGAAAAAACAGAAAAACAATATGCAGACCTAATCACTATGGCTCCTCACTTTATGTTTGTACTAGAGGCCCAGTGCACGAATCATGCACCGGTGGGGTCCCTCAGCCTGGCCAGCAATCGGGTTGTCTTGCCCAGTCCTGAGCAGGGCCAATGAGGGTCAGCCTGCTGGAGACAGACCGCGGGAGGTTGGCTGCCTGTGAGGGACTGTGGGAGGGCTTCAGGGTGTGCCTGGCCCATCTCGCCCAGTCTGATCAGCCAGACCCCAGCAGCAAGCTAACCTACCAGTCGAAGTGTCTGCCCCCTGGTGGTCAGTGCGCATTATAGTGACTGGTAGACTGGTCAAATGGTCGGACACTTAGCATATTACACTTTTATTATATATATATATAGGATTAATGGGTTTTCTGGTATGTCCCCAATCTTAGCTAATTTCCTCTTTTAGTACAAGATGAATAATCATAATATTGCCTTAAAAGTATTAATAGAAGTTAAAGGGAATACATTTCAAACTATTTCCAAACTGCATTTAAAATACTCCTGGGATTATATTTTTAAAGGGAAAAATCTTGAGAAATGTATCCCTAATAAAAACTACATAATAGTTTTAAATTCTGTTGTGCAGAGAAGCAATTTTCAATCTGTTTCATCTTATGACACACATAAGCCAATTACTAAAATTCTGCAGTGCACCAAAAGTATTTTTGCCGATTTGACAAAAAAATATAGGTACAGTTTGATTCATTCACACCTGATGGCTATTGTCATGTTGTCATTTTTTAAATTTGACAATCTAAGGGAAAAGAGGTCAGTGCCCCAACTAAATCGTCAGGTATTGCATGTTTTAAAAATTCTTGTGGCACACTAGTTAGTGTGCCTGCCACAGCATACCAATTGAAAATTACTGTTGTAGGGGAATGGCTAGTTCTCTACCTTCAGATTTGATTTCATCTGTTGTTTCTTCTTCCCCATCTTTGTCGAAATCTAATGCAGAACTCAGTGCTGAACTCTGTGAACTCTGAAAAGAAAAAGAAGCCTTTCAAAATGAGTTGCTCTTCTCCAAAGTTGCATCAACTCTCCCAATTAAAGAATGTAGATAAATACCTTGTAGTTGCCAAACATTCCTACTTAATTTTGCTAGGATTTAATGCTATATATTAGAAGCAACATAGTAATCAGTCTATTTACTGCATTCACAAGATAAAACGTATTGGCTCAATGTGTAAGCACATATTCCTATTGCTAACAAAGTAATATGCTAAGAATATTATGCTACATGTACATTAACATTTCAATTATACAATACTTTCTAGAAACATAATTCACAGCATAGTGCAATCAGAATTTTGAAAATATTTCTTTTACTATTGGAATCATCTTCCATGTTTGTGGGTGAAAGAAAACATTTCATCTTAATTGAGGAAATTAAAGGTTAGTTTAAATAGTGGCAAAATAGCTTTTTGTACTTATGACAATGTACTTTTAAAAGAAGAAGAATAGAATATTTTAGAGACTCATGTTAATCAACTTAATGGTGAATCCATATAACTATTTTCAGTTGCCTCCCTTTACTGTAAAATGTTTTCTCATATGTCTTGTATTTATTTAAACACAAAGTTACTTAAGTGATTAACATGAAAAGTACAGAATAATCATGAAATTACCCTAAAAACTGGTGATTATTGTATTTAGGATAATAGTTCTGATTTTAGAAAGCAATCTTTATTTATATATAATTCATAATAGCTCTTCACAAATAATTTATCTATGGAAGCATCCTACAACTGATTCAAAGGAGTCAGCTTAATTTTCCATTTGCCATTTTATTTATCTGTCTGAATACCCACATTTTTTCTTTCCCTTCTTTTGTAAGAAAATTAATTTGTCCAAGTTACTCTCCAGCATTAATATCTGACTTTTTATGAAAATTCTACCTCAATAGGCTCATTCCTGTTAGTTGCTTCCTGTTTCCTTTCTTTGTTTTCTTCTCCATTTTCCTAAAATGGAAACAGTGTTAATAAGTGTTATCCAGAAGGAACTGTCAATAAACTAATACCTTATACTCTAGTATAGCAAGCTTTTTATGTTAAAAACTTTCACATAATGAGTAAACATCATACCAAATAAAATCACACCAAGGTAGTGTATTAACAAATTCAAATAGTAACAGGTTCATTAATATAATAGAAGCCCAGTGCATGAAATTCGTACACGGGTAGGGTCCCTAGCCCAGGCGAGCGATCAGGGCCAATTGGAGCCTCTTGGCTGCTGGCTGGGGCCTTCCCTCCCCTGGCTGCCAGTTGCCGGCCAGGGTCTCCCTTCATTCTGCACCACCCCCTGTTGGTCAGCACATGTTATAATGAGCGGTCAAACTCTCGGTTGGTCGAACTTGCAAGGGGACAATTTGCACATTAGCCTTTTATTATATAGGATAAGGAATATCAACTAACTAGAAGCAGGCCACTGCTTTTTAGTTGATCCCTTTTTTGCATTTTTGTTAAAATCTGATGCAGAATACTTCAACTAAAAAGAGAATTAATTAAATGATAGAATATGATATTTCATCTCAATTCTTCTAAGAAAACTAGTCTCAAATCCTCTCATGGTTAAATGGTTAGGCATCTATTTAGTCCAGGTACCTGAGCAGGTTTGGGTACCTCTTGAGATGGTGACTTACTCATCTGGACCAGCAAAAAATATCATCAAATGGTAGGGGAAAGTATTACCAGACCATTATTAATAACAAAAAGAGAGAAAGACAACATTAATAAACAACACAAAGTACTCTGAAAGATCAAAATCTCCCCTGACCCCCACCACATCCCACCATTCTATTGAATGGTAATGAGTTCTCAACTGTTAAATTTTTCAAACTGTAATACTGTTATTTCTGTTATTACTGACCAAAGCTAGATTAATGGTAAGCTAGTGCTCAGGGAGACAGGAAAACTCACCCCAGTAATCATCACTATTATCATTAAAAAAAAAACAAAAACCCACCAGCAACAGTGATGCAATTGAATTTTTAAAAACATTGTCATCCTTATTAATTTTTGAAATAACAATCAAGATGAGGTGAAGTAAAACTTTGATGGCTACCTAATTCATGTGAGAAAGGCTGACAGAATAATAATCTCACTAAAGAGCATTTTTTTTTTGAAGGGGCATTCTGAGAGGAATGTGATTTATCGGTTTTATTTATTCATATTAAGGGATTAAATTGGATAATTACCGGGTCCCCACTTCATTGCAAATGACTATAGATTCAACCACAGATTATCAAAATCACTTCTGTGCCAAAATTCACTTAAGAGTTTGTGTATGTTTAGTCTCGTTTGTGCTATGTAGAAAGTAAATTTTATATTCATGGTCTCTGTCTGTAGGGCAGTTACAATCTAGGGACTCTTTAATCTGAAATATTATGCTTATAATGTACTAGAGTATTCACCTTTTTATCAACATAACACATGTTTTAGTTGAGTAAACCAAAAGTACTGCCTTTGGAGACAACAGATTCCAACACTTAAAAATAGCTGCCTTGAAGCCTTTTTGAAGCAGTTCATATATAAACTAGATTTATTTGATAGGTCCCAATTGTATATTCTCACAGACTGCTTTCTTTGCTTATAGTGTCCCATCTCCTGAAATTGCTAAGAAGCATCGTTCCATTTCTTTAAAAATCTGTTTTGTTTGAAAACACCCAGATAAATGCAACTCAATAAACCTTTTTGGGGTGCCTTCTATATGCAGGTAGACTCTGGGGTTAAAAATATGAATCAGGCCTGCCTTTAAAGAGTTCCCAGGTTAGTGAATAAACAGATGCAACTCAATTTGCAAAGTGCAAAAGTAGAGGTACATACAAAATGTTCAGAAACACAGAGGAATAAATAATATATTTTCCCAGAGAGATCAGGGAATTTTTCACAGAAAAATAGATTTTCAAGCTGTATTCAGGGACTAGTAAGACTTTTTTGTATAAAGGTATGGGGAAGATTATTTGAGGCAGAAGGAACAATACACACACAAGAGGATATGAAAGTTCAAAAAGTGTTTGAAGCATTCATGTAATAGAGCATCTATATATATAAAAGCCTAAGCGACTGTTTGACCATTCGACTGTTTGACCAGTAGCTATGACTCACATTGACCACCAGGGAGAAGATGCTCAGCACACAGGCATGGAAACATGGAACAGGCTGATGAATCTCAGAAGGAAAGGGGGGAGGGTGGGAAGAGATTAACCAAAGATCTTCTATGCATACTAGAGGCCCAGTGCATGGATTCATGCACCAGTGGGGTCCCTCGGCCTGGCCTGTGGGGATCGGGTTGAAACTGGCAGTCCTAGAGGGGTCCTAGATTGCGAGAGGGTGCAGGCCATACTGAGGGATCCCACTGGTGCATGAATCTGTGCACCGGGTCTCTAGTCCTATGTAATAAAAATCTAATATGCTAAGTGTCCAGTAGGCTGTTCAGCCGTTCAACCAATCAAAATATACTCCTATATAATAAAGAGGTAATATGCAAATTGACCACACCCTTGCACAAGATGGCCACCCCATGTGGTCAAAAGATTGCCGCCCCCATGTGGGTACAAGATGGCCACCACAAGATGGCTGGCAGGGGAGGGCAGTTGGGGGTGACCGGGACAGCAGAAGAGGGCAGTTGGGGAAACCGGGCTGGCAGGGGAGGGAAGTTGGGGGCAATCGGGCTGGCAGGGGAGCAGTTAGGTGAAAATCAGGCTGGCAGGGGAGTGGTTAGGGGGTGATCAGGCTGGCAGGCAGAAGTAGTTAGGGGCAATCAGGCAGGCAGGCAGGCGAGTGGTTGGGAGCCAGCAGTCCCGAATTGTGAGAGGGGTCCCAGATTGGAGAGGGTGCAGGCTGGGCTGAGGGACAACCTGACCATTCGACTGTTTGACCAGTAGCTATGACTCACATTGACCACCAGGGAGAAGATGCTCAGCACACAGGCATGGAGCATGTGTGCGTGAATTTCATGAACTGGGCCCCTAGTATGCTAATGATATGCTAAGGCTGCTCAACCGCTTGCTATGACATGCACTGACCACCGTGGGGCAAATGCTCCAACCAGTAGGTTAGCTTGCTGCTGGGGTCTGGCCGATTGGGACTGAGCAAGACGAGCCAGACCGCCCCAGCTGGCCAACCTCCCACGTCCCTTCCCGGCCCCGATCATGCACGAATTCATGCACCGGGCCTCTAGTAGTTATATAAAAGAAAGTGGCAGAAAATGAGAGTAAAAGATGTCAATCAGTAGTCATTGGTGCCAATTCAATGCTAACAGGAAGCTTTAATTTGGGGTGCAGTAAAGAAGACTTTATTCAGTGCAAAACAGCTCAATTGTAATACAGTACAGCTGTGAAAACAGCACTGAAAAACAGCTCAGTAGTGTTATAGCTCAATTATGAAGCAGCACAGTTGTGAAACAGCATGGCTGAGAAGAGGCCCTGGACAAAGGCGACCTGGGGCAAGGCAGCTCCGCTCTGCTCAGGTCAGCTCCATCTGCGCGCTGGTCCACGCTGCTCTGCCTTGCTCTGCTCCAGTCTGTTCTGCTCCCGCAGGATGTCTTCCATGTTTCAGCACAAAAAGGGAAAATAGTCTTCAGTCTTTGGTGGAAAGGGAAAGTGCTCCCAGAGCCAAAGAGGAGCTGACTTCTATAGAAGGTCCCTGATTGGTCTGTCTGCATGCAAATGAGGACTCCAAATCTTCACAGTTTGATTGGTCCAAAAAACACTGTCCTGGTTGGTCAGAATGAAGCTGCTCTGATTCAGTGGTGAAGATGTTGATGGGGATATAGCTGCACAACCAACTGACGGGGAGGAAGAGGAAGCCTCAGTTCTATTGGTTGAAATAGGATTCCAGGAAATCCTCTATCAGGGCTGGCTCAGATAGCAGAAACACAGTGCAGGAAGGCAGTTCAGGGCAGGCTGCGGGCAACTTAGTGCAGGCTTCTCCCTCAAGTGCTGTTTGCACGAGAGGCCCCTGGTTAGAAATGGCTGCTGGGCTCCGTTTTTTTGTATGTGTTTTGTTTGTTGTTGTTGTTGTTGGTGGTGGTGGTGGTGGTGTGTGTGTGTGTTTGGTTTTTTTAAAGCCCAGTTAAGCCACCAGGAGCCCTTCTTAGTAGGTATCTCTTTCTCAGGGTCCACAAAAGGTAAATTTTCAATCTGCATAGTTACTCATGCTAAAGTAAGGAGTTTAGACTTTATTCTATGTGTGTTTTTTAAACATAGTACAGATGTGATCAAATTGGTGTTTTTAAAGTTAACTCCTCCAGCAAAGACTGGAAGTGTGAAGGAATAGGGTGGGGGAAAGAGAATCAAGGTAAATTTTGCACCTTAAATGTTGCACCTGAGATGAATGCCTCACTACCCCTCACTCTACTCTACTCTAGGCTCCGCCAGACATTGTCAGTACCCTAACCATATCCCTTCAGCTTCACCTTTACAAAGCATGCAGATGGCTTCTGGTTGCAAGCATCTGCCATTCTCTCAGAGGACTTCCTGACAGTCCAAATGTGGGGCAGGCCAGAAGAACTTGGAAATTAATATCTGATAGGAGAAGCCCTCAGCCATTGATAAATAGGAAGCTGCATAGTCTCACAGGTGGAGCATTTCTGAGGTATGTTCTATTCTGTCTCCCAGAGTTACCCAATGGCATTGAGCTTCAGTTGCCCAATATTGCATTTGATACTCAATAATGCAAGCTTCCTTCATTTCCTGTATTTCTTCCCTACACCCTTACCATTGTTTTTTTGGAACCACCTCCCAAATGAACTTGTACTCAACATTTTAGATCAGGGTCTGTTCTGAGAGAACCCAAACAAAGACAATGATCAGGACTGGGGCATAATTGGATCTAAGGAGTGAAAGAAGAGGTTAGTTAAGGCTCACTAAGTGTTTTATTTTTTTATTTTTTTTCATGTTTAGAAGGGTGAATGGTGATGGCATTTATTGAAATAAGGAAAGGAAAGAATAACAGGTTTGAGGAATGATACAAATTTAAGTTTGGGGGCATTACATTTAAGCTACCTGCTTGATAGCCTGACAGAAGTGTCCAGTAAGAATCTGAGTGCCACTGAAATGTATTATGATGCATTTGTAGGAAGTTATGCAGAATGAAGTCCACTGGAAAATGATGGAAGCATTGTCTAGTCTAAACAGCATTAGTTTGCATTTGAATTACTCAAAGTGTATAGCATTCTCCACACCTCACACTCCCACCTGTAAGATTCTAGAGCAGGGGTGGGCAAACTTTTTGACTCGAGGGTCACAGTGGGTTCTTAAACTGGACCGGAGGGCCGGAACAAAAGCATGGATGGAGTGTTTGTGTGAACTAATATAAATTCAAAGTAAACATCATTACATAAAAGGGTACGGTCTTTTTTTTTTTTTTTTTTTTTAGTTTTATTCATTTCAAACGGGCCGGATCCAGCCTGCAGGCCGTAGTTTGCCCACGGCTGTTCTAGAGTCATTCCACTTAGGTTGTAGGCTGTGAGCTAGCCTTTGTAAATCTCGTTTAGGACTCTCCACACACACTCCCAATAGATTTGTAAATTGGTGAATTGTAGCATTTGGCATCTTGGTTGGCAAGACTGTCAGTCATATATGAAAGAGCAGCCAATTATCCTTGAGGAAGGGGTTTCATAGTATAAAAAAGAAACCATACATTATTCTGATTACTCAGACTACTAAAAGATATATGATTTCTGAATGTTTTATAGTTCCTTTTGTTATGAGTCTTGATTTGTTATGAGTCTTGATACTCTGGGTATTGACAGAAAAATGTCTTTGTAGGACGTTGCTACTGTAGCTCATCCAGTAAGAATAGCTAGAGAAGAAAAAAGGCTGAACATAACCCTTTCTTGATGAACACTTAAAAGTAAAGCTAAGGCCCTAGCCGATTTAGCTCAGTGGATAAAGCATTGGTTCATGGACTGAAGGGTCTCAGGTTTGATTCTGGTCAAGGGCATGCACTTCAGTTGCAGGCTTGATTCCTAGTCCTGGTTGGGGCATATGCGGGAGGCAACCAATTAATATGTCTATCTCACATCATGTTTCTCTCTCTGTCTCTCTCTCCTCCTCCCTTCTACTTTGTCTTAAAAAATCAATGGGAAAAATATCCTCTGATAAGGATTAACAACAACAACAAAATAGCTACTATAATTTGCTAATATATATACAATATAAAAAGAAGTAAATTGTGGCATCAAAAATATAAAATATGTGTGTGTGGAGGGGAGTAAAAGGGTAGAATTTTTGTGTGTGATTGAAGTTATCAGCTTAAAATAAATTTTGCATCTATTAGATGTTTTATGTAAGCCTCATGTTAACCACAAAGCAAAAATCCATAGTAGATACACAAAAGATAAAGAGAAGGGAATCTAAACATACCACTATGGAAAATTATCTGTTCACAAAGGAAGGGAAAAAGGAGAAAGGAACTATAAAACATTCAGAAAACAATAAAATGACATTAGTAAGTCCTAACCTATTAATAATTACTCTAAATAATTACTCTAAACGAATTAAATTCTCCATCAAAATGCATAGAGTTGCTCAGTGGATTATACAAACAAGGCCCAATTATATGATAACTACAAGAGACTCACATCAGCTTAAAGGACACATATAGGCAAAAGTGAAGGGACGTAAAAAGAGATTCCATGCAAATGGAAACCAAAAGAGACGAAATAGGCTATAAGCCAAAAACTGTAACAAATTCATTATATAATCCTAGCTAATAAAAGAAAAACATGGTTATTAGCCATACATCCGCTACCCTTCCCATTGGCTAATCAGGGCGATATGCAAATTAACTGCCAGCCAAGATGGCAGCCAGGCAGCTTGAATCTAACATGAGGCTTGCTTGCTTCAGTGACAGAGGACTCCAACGTTCCCCGCCTGCCTTGCCGGCCTCTGAGCTTGCAGTTTGAAACATTGTTACAAATATAGAAGCTAAACAAAACCCCAGAAACCTGCTTTTAGCAAGCCGGGATCTCAGAGCTGGAGTTGATACAGTGTTTCGATTATAGAACCCAAACAAACCAGATACCTGCTTTCAGCAGCAGAGGCCTCAGAGCTGGAGCCAGAGCTAAAGCTGGCCCAGAATAAAAAAGAAAAAGAAGAAAAGGAGTAGTTGGGAGCTTCAGTCACCCACCAGCCTGAAAAACAGCCCTCAGCCCCTCACCCAGACTGGCCAGGCACCCCAGTGGGGACCCCCACCCTGAAGGGTGTGTGACCAGCTGCAAACAGCCATCATCCCCTCACCCAGGCTGGCCAGACACCCCATTGGGGACCCCCACCCTGAAGGGGGTGTGACCAGCTGCAAACAGCCATCATCCCCTCACCCAGGCTGTCCAGACACCCCAGTGGGGACCCCCACCCTGATCCAGGACACCCTTCAGGGCAAACCAGCCGGCCCCCACCCGTGCACCAGGCCTCTATCCCATATAGTAAAAGGGTAATATGCCTCCCAGCACCAGGATCAGCGGAACCGAGAGGCCTCCCGGCACCGGGATCAGCCTGACAGGGGGCAGCGCCCAAACCCCCTGATCGCCCTGTGGCTCTGTGTGTGATGGGGGCAGGGCCACAACCTCCCTATCCGCCCTGCTCTGTTCGTGACAGGGGAAGGCGCCTCAACCCCCTGATCAGCCCTGCTCTGTGCCTGATAGGGGGAGCTCCCCAACCCCCTGATCACCCTGCAGCTCTGTGTGTGACAGGGTGCGGCGCCCCAACCCTCCCCGCCCCCCACGGACCCTGCTCTGTGTGTGACCAGGTAGAGCCATAACCTCTCCATCAGCCCTGCCCTGAGTGTGAGAGTGGTGGCGCCCCAACCCCCTGATCCGCCCTGCTCTGTGTGTGACAGGGGGCGGAGCCCCAACTCCCCTATCGGCCCTACTCTGTGCGTGACGGGGCAGCGCCCCAACCCCCTGATCGGGCCCTGCTCTGTGCGTGACAGGGTACAGAGCCCCAATCCCCCTGATGGGCTCTGCTCTGAGCATGACAGGGGGTGGCGCCACAACCTCCCCATCGACCCTGCCTTGAGTGTGACGGGACAGTGCCCTAACCCCCCATCGGCCCTACCCTGAGCATGACTGAGGGTGGCATCACAACCTCCCGATCGCCCTGCTCTGTGCATGACAGGGGGCGGCGCCCCAACTCCCCAATCGGCCCTGCTCTGAGCCCAACCAGGGGCTGCACCTAGGGATTGGGCCTGCCCTCTGCCACCTGGGAGCAGGCCTAAGCCAGCAGGTCGTTATCTCCTGAGGGGTCCCAGACTGCGAGAGGGCACAGGCTGGGCTGAGGGACCCCCTCCCTGCCGAGTGCACAAATTTTTGTGCACCGGGCCTCTAGTTAATGATAAAGGGTTCTATAATTAATGATAAAGGGTTCATCAAGAATTATGGGTTGCAGACTTATAACATAAATTGAATTCACAATCTAGCTACATTACTTATTTGAAAATTGGGGCACTGATTGGTAAAAAGGGGGACCCTGAAATTTGGAATGGTGACATTTAATTGGACTAGGAGACTGATAATCTCAAACACATGAATAACTCTGAGCCTCTTTTGCCAATGGAAGCAGTTTTTTCTCCATATTTGTGGAGACTGACCTCCTCGTAATTGAAAACATTGTAATAATCTCATCTTGGGCAATAGCCTTGTAGGGGGATGCCCGTTTTCCTCAAGACTCACAACAACCACCTCTTATTTCTAGTAAAATCATACCTAAATTCAGACCTTAAAATGCTCCAACAGAGTAAATACAAAGTCTGACCAGGAGGAAATGGCTTTTATAGCAAAAGATTTTCACTATTTGCTTACATCAGTGATGGCGAACCTTTTGAGCTCGGTGTGTCAGCATTTTGAAAAATCCTAACTTAACTCTGGTGCCGTGCCACATATAGACATTTTTTGATATTTGCAACCATAGTAAAACAAAGACTTATATTTTTGATATTTTATATATTTAAATGCCATTTAACAAAGAAAAATCAACCAAAAAAAATGAGTTCACGTGTCACCTCTGACACGCATGTCATAGGTTCACCATCACTGGCTTACATAGTGGCAGAAACCCAGGGAATGTGTGCTAGTATATTATAAGGGAGTTAAAGCAAGGAGCACAGAATATAACACTGGATTGGTTAGAATTTCTTGTTATGGGTACACTTACCAGAAAGTAAGGATTTAATGTGTTAGCATTTATAGCTGGGAGTGACACTAACCATTTGGTGAGTTCACTAAAACATAGACTCCACAGTGGCCTATGTTTATTCAAATTGAGATACCAGAACTTCCCTGACATAACATAAAGAGATACAAAGGCTTAGGGAGATAGGAATTTTGAAATAGATTTATCACATATGACCTGCACATCTACTACCCCAAGTACATCCCCCTAGAGGACTCTGGGGACATTACTAAGGCACTGAAAAATACATTAGAGAGTGGGAGTACTTGCATCCTTGGAAAGCTCTATGGTAGCTTTCATCCATAAGCTAGGCATGATGGGATGATCCATTTCAAAGTATCAGAGGTCAATGTCAGTGTTTAACCACCAAAGACAAGGTGTGTATATCTACCATAAAGAGAAGTATAGATATAGTGGTAATCAGGTATTTTGACCCTTAGTGATCTTTGTGGCTAAATTATCATGGTGGTCCTAGGAATAAAATAGATGGCCAGTTTACTAAAACATTGATCATCTACACATAATATTAAAAATCCACATATGGTGGAAAAAATATTACTTCAGTCACCACAGTGGAAAATTCAGACCTTTTACCCAGTTTCCAGACTTAAGCCTCTTAATTGAAAGGAAGGCTTGATCCCCTTAAATGAGAATTCTGCAGCACTGCCATTAATATACACTGAAAATCTTCCTCTATGTCTTCTCCACAAGGGACGTCTGGCCATTTTGTAAAATGATTGTGTGCTAGGGAAAAAGAAATGTCCAGGTTTTTAGAGATTTCTAAACATTGGCACTAAACTGATGTTATTTCCTGGGGGCCCAAAATGCCACTGCAGTCTACCAGTTTAAGTGGGGGCTTGTGGTGGACAGGTGAGAGACAGAGTCTTTTTTAAAAAAAGCTTTATTGTTGAAAGTATTACATAATGTCCCTCGTATTCCCCCATCAACCCCTGAGAGATAGAGTCACAATTCAAGTTTGAATCACAGGGGGCTGAGTGGGTCCATAGAACCACTATGTAGTGATTTAATCAGTTCCTGGATGTATAATTAAAATAGATACCTGGTAACTGGCAGAATTTCCATATTGGCTCTCTGATCCTGGAATAAGGGCCATTATAGTCTGAAGGGTCAAGTTAAAGACCTTAGAAATCTCCCTCCCACACATACACACATACCAGGAGAGTAAACAAAAATTATTGCTTTCTTGGGAGAGCAGAATGTGGGATTATAGAGATTAATGACACCAATAAAGATCTGAAAGAAGCAGAGGTGATGAAATCTATCTCTTGCCAATTTAACTTTCCTGTTTGGCCTGTGAAGAAGGTGGATGGATCTTGGAGAATGACTGTAAATTATTATAAATTTAATCAGGTGATGCCTTCAGTAAGAGCTGCTCTTCTATAGGTAGTATCTTTACTGGAATAAATCAACATAACCCCTACCATTTGGTATGCAGCTACTGAACTGGAAAATGCTTATTTCTCCATACAAATTGGTAAGGAACACCAGAAGCAATTTGCTTTTACTAGGCAGGGCTGACAATATAACTTCACAGTCTTGCCCTACAATTACATCAGTTCTCCTACTCTCTGCCATATTATAGCCCCAAAAAGATAGAGTATCTGAGCCTTCCAATCAGCATTGAATTGCTCCAGTACATTGAAGACATTATACTAATTGGATCTGGGGAGCAGGAGGTAGCAAATGGGAAAAAGAAACTATCAGAGTCAAATATAATTTATACTTGTAAATTTTGAATCATTGTGAAAGTTTTAAATTTCTCACCTATTTATATAAAATAAGTTCTCATCGCCGAAACCGGTTTGGCTCAGTGGATAGAGCGTCAGCCTGCAGACTGAAAGGTCCTGGGTTCGATTCCGGTCAAGGGCATGTACCTGGGTTGCGGGCACATCCCCAGTGGGGGGTGTGCAGGAGGCAGCTGATCGATGTTTCTCTCTCATCGATGTTTCTAACTCTCTGTCTCTCTCCCTTCCTCTCTGTAAAAAATCAATAAAATATATAAAAATAAATAAAAAATAAATAAAATAAAATAAGTTCTTATCAACATGACTACCTATCTCTCAATTGCTGTTTCTGTCCCTCACTCCCTCTTCCTTCCTCTCTCTCTCTCTCTCTCTCTCTCTCTCTCTCAAATACATAAATATCAATAAAAAAATAAAATAATAATAATGACTACCAAGTGGTCATTGTTAAATTCTCTTTTTGAGGAATTACATAGTTATTTCAATCACAAAACCTTACATTAAAAAGTTATGTTTACAGCCCTTGCCGGTTTGGCTCAGTGTATATAGAGTGTCAGCCTGCAGATTAAAGGGTCCCAGGTTTGATTCTAGTAGAGGGCATATGCCAGGGGTGGGCAACCCCTGGCATGCATGCCAAACATGGCACGCCAGTAACTTTTGCTGGCACGAGAAACCCTCTCTGATAATCTTCCATTTAAAATTTTTGTGAACATTTGAATGACTTAAATGTTAAATTACAAGGAACTGGCAAGACACTTGATGTTATGTTTGGTTACATAAAGCCTTTTGAAAAGAAACTGGAAGTCTTCAAGAGGGATGTGGATGGTGAGAGATTTAGATATTTCCCAAACCTCGAGAGGCACATCAAAGACCTCCCAAAAGATGACAGAACAGACTGTCAAAGCCTTCAAAAGCTGTTTTTAAACATCATCGAGTCAACTATTGAGCAGTTCTTCTCAAGATTTGCGAAATTCAGAGAACTAGAAGAGACAGCAAAATTCATGAGGTTTCCAGACAGCATGAAACTGGAGGAACTAAACTTACAAATGTTTTCATGGATAGACATGGATGACTTTGAAATGCAGTTGATTGAATTTCAGAGTAGCTCAATTTGGAAGCAGAAATTTGTTGACCTTAGGGTTGACTTGGAAAACATTGAAAAAAATAAGTGATTAGAGACAGGAGTACCAGAGAGAAGTGTCAAAAATGAACTACTGAGGACTTGGAATGCCATTCCAGAAAATTTTTTCTGTTTAAAAAACTTTGCAACAGCGTCACTCTCCATGTTTTCATCCACATACGCTTGTGAATCTTTGTTCTCAGTGATGAATTTTGTTAAGTCTCGTAATAGGAGTATCCTGATGGATGAAAGTAGTAGCTCGTGCATATCTCTGAAGGTCACGAAATATAAACCTGATGTAAAATCTTTGTCATCAGTGATGCAGCAGCAAAAGTCCCACTGATAATATCAAATGGAGTCATAAAGTTTTCTGTCTGACTATCAGTGTACATGTATACATTAAAAAATAAATGGTATGCATACAAGCCAAACCAATGGACAAGGACAACAGGGGGATGAGAGCATGAGTGTGTGTGTGTGTGTGTGGGGGGGGGTGAGGTTGGAGGTTAACGGGGAGATGAGGACACATTTGTAATACTTAACCAATAAAGAAATTTAAAAAAATAACAATAAATATATTTTTCACCATCATATACTGTGTTTTTGTCGCCTGAATGAATTTTATTATTTCTTCAAGGTTCTTCACATATGTACACCTTAAGAGATATCAAGTAGGCATAACATGTTCTCAAAAAATTAGGGTTGGCACGCAGAAGAATTTTGAGTCAGAGATTTTGCTGGTTTGGGCACGCACTCATAAAAAGGTTGCCCACTCTTGGCATATGCCCAGGTTGTGGGCTTAATCCCTGGTGGGGGTGTGCAGAAGGCAGCCATTCGGTGGTTCTTTCTCATCATTGATGTTTCTATTTCTATCTCCCTCTCCCTTCCTCTCTGAAATCAATAAAAAAATATTTTTAAAAAGTTATGTTTACAGATACAATCTCAGGTTTTTCACTAAATTTTTTTAGAATAATTTATTTAGAAGCATATATAAAATTAACATTTATCATCCTTAATATGTTTATCTTATTTTTCTCATTATATAATATAAAGAAAACAACTTTTTCCATCCAGCCCATACAGTTGCCTTTTTAATTTACCCTAGTATGCTACATAAATATAATTTCTATGGATGTTAGGATATGAAAAAAGATTGAGAAACACTGCTTTAAATTTCAGATCAGGATTCTTAACCTCAACTAATTTTAGTAAATGTATGAAATATGGAAGTGTATCTTTCTGGAGAGATGATGAATAGTTTTCATCAGGTTTCAAAGCTTAAGAACCAGCTGGTCTCAGGAATTTCAGAACTTCCCCTATAATTTAACCCCCAAAGAAGAAATGATACAAATTAAGGATTAATTGAACTCCAACAGCACAAACAGGTCATTATCATGGGTGAGAAGAATAAAGGCACTATTAATGGAAGTAGGAGGACTTTTATCTTTTTGGCACACGCTTGTGGGAATATTGCTCTTGGTTTCTCTTCTCGAATTCAACCAGTATAGTAAGAGGATTCTAGGATTTTCTCTCTATTTGAAGTAGAGACCTTCTCTCTCAGATCACCCGAAGACCAAATAGGAACCAAGGTTGAGCCCAAGGAAAAATAGGTATAAATGGGGCAGAGAGCATAGATTTCAATGCTCACATGTGATCCAGCTCAGTTCACAAAGCAACTATATTGGGATCTGCAGCCAAAGCTTTAAAATTTAAAGTTTAAATCCAATATCATGAAGCCCACATTTGCCTAGACCTTCTCCTCTGTGTGTCTAAAACACTTTGTACATATCTACATTTCATATCTCTCTTGGGGACTAGCAGTGGTGACAAGCCATACTACCACTAAACCCTAGTGTCATTATTTGATGTGGTTTCCCCAGCTAACAGGCTATGAGGCTGTTAAGAGAGGTAGATAGACTCCTATTTTGTTCTTAAAAGTGTCTACATATAATACACATTCAATATTTTCTCAATTAAGAGTGAATAAGCTAAAGAATATGCACCAATAATTTCACCTCAGATACGTTGTATAAAAATATTCTATGCCTACCTACAGATGAGACATCCTGACCACGAATCTACTTCTCCTACTATTAAGGCATGAATCATCTCTATAGTTATTTTTGTTCCCTTTTTGCTAGATGCTATTTTCTACACATAGGGTACACTCAGCAAAAGCTAACTGAACTTGGAACAAACATTAGAGACTAATGATCTTAATTACATACAAGGCTTTGCAGTTTATACTGCACTTTACCATAAACCATCTCATTTGATCACAAGAATCCTGTGAGTTAGAGCTTCATTGTAGAAATGAAGAAAGGAAAACTCAAAAAGTTTCAGCCATTTGCTTAAGGTTTTAGAGCTGGAATTAGAAGCCTATGGCAGTGCTCTTTCCCACTGTAAGATTAATGAAATTGTCTCTCTCGTCTTCCAAAAGAATTCCTTAAGATTATATTGCTACACAAAAGTAGTGTTGCTGTCTCTGAGACAGTAAGAAAGTGAACATATAAGCACATTTCTAAGACCTACTGATTTGAATAACTTTTTCTAGAATGATTCCTTGGTTTATAAGCCACATGTGTTTCATTTGAGTTCATTCAGCTTCCAGCTATGTATATCGCTTGGCTCTGCATACAGCTGCCTGTTTGGTCTTCGAAGCTCTGATTCAGAGTTCTTACTTCTGAACTTTTATCTGCTCTTTCCCTGTTTACCAGGTAGCTCTGGGAAAAAGTCAAGGTAGTTGAATCTGTGAATCATACATCTTCACTTTTGTCTCGCAGGCATCCTTGACCACCACCAGGGGGCAAAAGCCGACCAGCTGGCTTCTCTGTGGCACGCTTCCTCTCCATAGGACAGTGCAGTAGGGGACCCTGGGGTCTGATTCTCCTGGAACCTCCCTGCCAATTATGTCAAGCGCGGGGCCCGGGGGAGAGAACAAAGGCTCACCCAGGGGCTCCCGTGGCACGTCCCCATCCAGAAGCCAGAAAGCGCTCATCAGCCCCGTCAGAGTGAAAGCAACAACGAGACCCCAGCAGCGGTTCTCAACCTGTGGGTCGCGACCCCTTTGGCGGTCCAACGACCCTTTCACAGGGGCCGCCTAAGACCATCCTGCATATCAGATATTTACATTACGATTCATAACAGTAGCAACATTACAGTTATGGAGTAGCAACGAAAATAATGTTATGGTTGGGTCACAACATGAGGAACTGTATTTAAAGGGCCAGA